TTTATCACAAATCCTATCTCATACCCATCTCCAATATAGATAATATAACTTGCATAAAGATCCATTNTCATTTATCACAAATCCTATCTCATACCCATCTCCAATATAGATAATATAACTTGCACAAAGATCCATTCCTACCATCATTTACAAATCAAAAACCAAATTACTATCCGTCTCTTAGAATAGTCCCAAAAATACATGATATAAAACTGGAATATTCATTCCAAAATGTTCGCCAACTCCTCAAAGCTAGTTAATACATGAATTCGAACGAATAATTAATCCATAACCTAACTAAACAAAAAATCACACATATCTTATAAACATTTAACTTCAAACAAATTTAACCCTAGAGTTTCTTCAACTAAACCTAATACTCCAGTGATAGTCCACAACCTTCAGCTCTCATGTAAGACCTAATTTCTAAGCTCTAATACCAACTTTGTAACGCCCCAAAAATTACCTTGTACGGTATTATAATTTAAAACCATTCATATCATGAGAGCACTAATATAATCCATAAATAAATGGGACTTCATTCATCTTCCATAAAATATTTACAACATTACCCAAATTGATATGCCGAACCATTGCATTTACATCCCAAAAATTTAACTATCATAATGCAGCGGAATTACAAAAGGAGACTAGACTTCAAAATATTTCAAAAATGAATTTCCTAATCTAGAACAAAGATAATGTTGCTCTAAGCGTCCACCTCAAGATCCACGTTCCCTTCTATAGGAATCTCCTAGTGTGCCGATTCATTCACTCCCAACTCCTCCTCTAGGACATCATCTGAAAAATATTATTTGTAGGGGGTGAGCACTAAGTTCTGTAACAACATTTCTCCCATACTCGAACAAGGTTTAGAAAAGCATATAAAAAAGGGCGGTCACCTTTCACAAATAGCATATATGAATTTTGAAAAAAAAACAGAGACATTTAAACAGATCTCAAGTTTAAGCAACATCAGTAATTTAATGCATAAGTGAAACCAATATACAACTAGTAACTCATTCCACCATAAATCGTTTCTCCCAAGTTCTTGCGGAATCTCATACTTCCCAAGATTCTTGTAGAAACCATTTCTGGTACAATGAACAATAACCCACCACTACAATATAGCTATAAACCATTTCTTCCAAGTTCTTGCGGAATCCCATACTTCTCAAGATTTTTGTAGAAATCATTTCTGGTACAATGAACAATAACTCACCACTATATTCATATCTCTGGTATGAAGTAAGACCTCGCATGGATACCATCGAAAATATCATGGCCCACGTACAACCCACATAAATCCTTTTTCTACGATACCCCGTAAGCGATAATGGTTTAGTCCTCACAAGGCACTAACCCCATTACGAGTGGTAGGAAAAGTTCATACCCGCACGGAGTAAGAAGGTGTCTACCCACTCCATGATACCCAACCAATCGTAGCCCATGTTTATCCAAACAACCACACAAGAGATACAATACCAACAATTCCATCAATAACCAACAATTTTCAAAACCCCCAATTCCATGGGTATTTCCAAGAGCATAAGTAATTTCAACAACCCCCAAATTTTCACATGTATCATTTCCATAGAACACTGAAGAAAATGCCCGAGTTCATCATCCATATCATTTTATTACTCAACACAACGCACTAAGGTTTTGAAATCAAGAACCAAGGAAGAATCAAAAGCAAAATCCATCACTCTTGAAAACTAGGGTTTTAAATCAAGAAAAAGAGATTTCATGGGTATTCAACCCTAACTTTGTTTAAAACATGATAATAATTGCAAGAAGACCATTAAACAAAGAACCCATAGCAAATACATAAGATTAGGAGTCAAAACATACATATATATTAGCCCTAACATCAATGGACAAGAGTGGAAGAAAACCCCTACCTTGCTTCCTTAGTTTTGAGCGAAGAATGGTGTCCTGTGCGTAATTTTTTTTAGATTCAGAATTCGTAACTGACGTTCGAACGCCGGTGTCCTTAAGTATTTATAGTGGAAGGAATGGTGTCATGTGCGTAATTTTTTTTAGATTCAGAATTCGTAATTGACGTTCGAACGTCATTGCCGTTCGAACGTCCTTAGCTCCCAGTACTTTAGTTTTTCCATCAGACAAAAAGTATTGGAATGCACTATCATTCGAACGTCATTCTTGTTTCTTTTGAAACTTCTAGTGAAGTTTTGCCCTATCTAGAGGTCGTTTCATAAAATTATCATGAAATACACTTTTGTAGCTCTAGAAGTCTACTATATACTGTCAAAATTTCAGATCAAATGGAAATTAGGATAAATATTTATGATCCAAATACTAGGAAGTATCCAAAATCCTTTTTACCCAAATTCTCTCTAAAGTGTGATTTCATTCCGAAGTACTTCCAAACTTCTACGACTTACCCTATTATCTTAACTAACCTTTTTATTTCTACTCTTATAATCTACATAGTTCATGCATACATTACTACATAAATTAGTATTTCAAAAACATACTTACGTTGTTATATAAAAATACAAATGTGGGGGTTTACAACACCTACATCTCTGCAACACAGTGAACACCTACTGGTTTGTCCCAAATATAAGTCATGAAAGCAGTTGGGCTTATTTAACCAATCCCAAAACTTTCAATGAGGGGTTTGCCTTCAAAAAGGCTAAACGGCCTTGTTTCAAGCAAAGCTACACTGGGGTGTGTTTCACAGCAACTTCAGGGCAATGAATAAAAAGTATTTAGCGGCACATTTGAAACATCTGGCAACTAAGGATCTACGAAAATAGATTGAGGCCACTAAATAAACTTTCTTCTGCATAAGAAATTTTCTTTCATCTAAAAAACTGAATACTTAACTAATAAGATAACACTTCAATACCTCCTCTGCATACTGGTTATTAGATCTTTTATCTTTAGTATTTCGGAGGCGAACCTTACAAAGCTGTTTTTAGAGCTTCCACTGGTTTGTACCTAACATAAATTATCCAACATTAATAGAAATTCATTGAAGAAAATCAAGAGAAGACAGATTGGAGATGATTCAAATATATATCAAGACTACATAACTAGTTTACTCAATGTAAAGATATTATACCAGCTCAAGAGATGTCACTGAAATGTAAAGATAACTAGTTTACTCAATTTAAATGTAAAGATATTATATATCAAGACTACATAAAAGTAAGATTACTAACCCATGAAATATAACTTTTTCAATTTAAGAGATCTTACCCTATCACAATGAAGAGAGGTAAGAATTTGCCCCGAATCTTTTATTTGTTGAAAAAATGTGGTGAGCTGAGTTTGAAGCATGGCATGCACTTGTGTTTGTATCTCAACATGCATATTGGACTCTAAGGACTTTAGTCGCGAAGCCAAATCACTGTTTTCCTTCTCCAACAACTCTCAATGCATCCTATTTGTTTCAGCTTGCCTCTTCAATTCCTCATTCTCCTTCTCTAGTTGTACACGGATGCGCTACCCAACTGTAGATGTTGTGGGCTTTGGACTAGCCCCACGACCATGTATATATCTTGATTTTTCTAGACAGAGCACTGCTTCAAACCTCTAATCCTCAGTCATGGGGGTAGCTCCTTCCTCCATTGATTGAGCTGCTAGCCTCTTAAGGTCGCTCTACGTTTGGAAAGATTGCAATCTATCAATTTAGCATTATGTAAGAAGATATTTCAAGGAAATGGAGAAGGATAGGATAACTTACATAGACTTCTCCCGATCTCTTGTCAGCCCAAGCATTCCTTTTCATACTAAACTTGGTTGTTAACCACAGTTTCATACGGTTAGGCTCCTCTCTAGTCTCGGGATCACGCTATCATGCATTAAACATGATACGTGACTATCATGACTCTACATGCCAGCAATTCGACATTCCTTACTATTCACAAATTTTACTGTTTCGATGTGACTCAATTGCTCAAGAACATCATCCCCAGAAAGAGATATCGATGCCTCCCAAAGTTCTTTTTTTCCATCAAAAGAATTCTTTTTATGTCTCCATACATGATTGATTGGTAAAAAGCGTTGATGACCCATGTAACAAGTCTTTTTCCATTCTTTAGCCACATAGATGACGTCTCCTTATTGCAGGTAGGACAAGCCAAAAATCCTTTAGTACTCCATCCTGATAAGTTTTCGTATACTAGGAAGCCATTTATAGTCCATATAACTGCAGCATGTAATAGAAAATTGGCACCAACGAAGGCATCGTAAATTTGGACACCATCTTCTTTCAACTCTTCTATCAATGGCTTCATATATACATCAATGTCATTTCCAGGAGATTTGGGTCCTGGAATTAGCATTGACAAAATGAAAAAGAGATCCTTCATACATTTCCATGGTGGTAGGTTATATGGAACAAGAACAATAGGTTATATGATATAAGTAGTGCTCATGTTTGAAAATGGATTGAATCCATAACTTGCTAGCCCAAGCCTAACATTATGAGGATCTTGGGCAAAGGATTCATGCATTTTTTCAAATACTTTCCAGGCTTCTATGTCAACTGGATGCCTTGGCAAACCATCATCGACGCGCTTCTCTATGTGCCACGACATATCTAATGATATCTTCTTTGAAACAAATAACTTTTGTAGCCTTGGTTTTAGTGGAAAATAACGTAAGATTTTTTTAGGAATCTACTTTCGTTTTCCATCATCAAATTTATATATAGGCTCTTTGCATTCTATACACTCTTGTTTATCTTTGTGCTCCTTCCAAAATAACATGCAATCATTTTTGCAAGCATGAATCCTTGTATAGTCAAGCCCCATGTCACGAATGATCTTTTTCGCCTTATAATAGGAGCTAGGGAGTGTCTCACCATCAGGAAGTGCCTCTTTAAATAGCTCGAGCATCATACTAAACATTTTATTACTCACTCGATTTAGTACTTTTCAGGTGCAATAACTTCAGAGTGAATGACAACTTGGTGAAATTCTTGCAACCCAAATACAACTGTTGGTTAGCATCCTTCAATAATCTCATAAATTTATTTGTTTCCCAATCAGGTACTGGGAATTCCCAGTAATGTTCGAATTCTCTCCTTCCCAAGCATTCACAGTTGCCGCAGTGTAATGTTCATAAATCATTTCTTGTATGTCATCGTGATCATTTTCATCTTCTTCATCAGGCTCATCATCATCATCATTGTCGTTGCTTAACTCAAACTCTTCCCCATGAAATACCCATGTAATGTAATCTTTAACTATACCATGGTAATACAAATGAGTTTCCACATCATCATGAGTTTGAAAATAAACGTTATTGCATTTAACACACGAACAACGCATCATTTTCCCAGGTTCAGTATGGGAAAAAGTGAACTCCATGAATTGCTTAACTCCTTCACGATATTTAGGGCGTCGCCTGTAAAACCCAAGTAAATTTAAACTTTTTATGAAAAATGATAAAATGGTAATTTGTTACTATAGTACGGGTTGTAAACCTGAAATTTTTTAGAACTCAGATGACAAAACGGACCTCACTGTTGGATTCATCTTATGAAATCTAGTTACCCCGTCAAATTTCATCGAATTCTGAGATAGTCAGATTTTTTGCGTTTTACAAGGTGATCGAACTTTGGGTGGGTGACCTAACGATGAAATTTTTAAATAAAATTGTGAAGATTGGAAAATAATTAAAGGCGAATACATACAAAAATATTTTGAACTTGAACCGAGATAAAATTTAATCGTTTCGGGGCTAAAACGAAACCGAAAAAAAGAGGGTTGTGTGGTCAATTGTGGGCCAAGGATTCTAAGACTATAAATAGGGGGAAAATCATATTTTTTTCCCATTCTTCAGCCGGTCTTCAATGTTGAGCGAAGGAGAGGGAAAAGGGAGAGTTTCACCACCTTCTCTCTACGATCTACAAAGCTATGGTGCTCAAATTCACTCAGGACAAGAACAAAAGTCGGTCTCCTCATCGAGGGCTACACAACCACACTAAAATCGAGAGATTTCACCGAAGTTTCAAAGCCAAGCTTGGTGGAATCAAGGGCTTGGGGCGAAAATTGGGGTCTTGAAGTCTTCTACCAAGTGGGTTACGCTTCAAAAGATAGAGTTCATTCCTACTTAGGTTTATTTAACAACTTAGGGTATAATATGTAATGGGTATGTGGATAGAAAGATCATATTATTACCTATGTTGTAGAAATAAATGAAATGGGTATGAAAATTGGATAGAATGAATTTTACCTTAAATTGGGTTGTGAATTTGACTCAATGTGATCAATAAAAATTGGTGCTATGTGGGCATGTTAAGTGTTTAAATCTATGCCTTGGTGGATGAAATGTGTTGTTGGCATATATTATGTGATAACATGCTTGTGAATGACTGTTGGATATGAAAATGTTGATGTATGCTCATAGATATATCGACATTGTGATGGAATTGATAATTTTATGTTTTGAGATTTAAATTGTCATCGAATATGTGTAAATATGGTTAAATTTTGCTCATATGGCATTTTTTACATTTGGGCATGACATTGAAATAGTAATGATGCATTACATTGCATTTGTACGAGAACATCGCATTCATGGGCATTGTCATGGGTGTGGGCATGTGTGCTTGGTTTAATCAAACACCATACTTGGTGGTTAATGGGTGGGCTCGAAAAAGTTGGATTGAAAATTTGACTGAGTCGCACAGTTCCATGAAAAACTTGTGTCATGTATAGCAAGTAGGGCTAGACTCTCCCTCAGGTGTAAGACCCGGCTACCTGGTTCAGACACTCCCCTATGGTGAAATTTTAAAAAAGTGTCACGGTGTGCGGAACCGGCGGTGCAACTCCAAGAACTCCGCTACCCAATAAAGACACAAGGATTTTGTTTTATAAAATACCTGGTTCGTACACTCTCCTGTGGTGAAATTCCAGAAAAGTGTACTTGTTTTATAAAATAGTCATTCAATGTGTAACATCTAACAATGACTTGGTCTATAACCACATGACTTTATTTCAAAATGATCATTGAATGTAATTCATCAATGGCAGATTTTCAATGCATCGGCATTGCATTGCGTGGTGGGAGCCAGTAAGGACTCGAGTTAAAGGACATAAGTGAGTCTTACTTCATTTCATGGCATGATTTGTAAAAATTTCAACATTGAAAAATATATTGTGGTTGAGATGTTGTTGGTGATAAAGGGTTGCATGAACATTCATATGCACTTAGGTTGCGGAGTTGTAACGCCCCAAAAACCACCTTGGAAGGCATTACCTTCTAAAACCATTCATACCAAGGGAACAACTAATAAAATCCATAAATAACCGGAGGTCCTTAATTTAATAAAATCCGGGCAGAGTCTCCTTTGTTCGGGGAGCTCTACCCAAAACACAACATGTGCAATTATACTACATTGATCATACCGGATTNATAGTAATGATGCATTACATTGCATTTGTACGAGAACATCGCATTCATGGGCATTGTCATGGGTGTGGGCATGTGTGCTTGGTTTAATCAAACACCATACTTGGTGGTTAATGGGTGGGCTCGAAAAAGTTGGATTGAAAATTTGACTGAGTCGCACAGTTCCATGAAAAACTTGTGTCATGTATAGCAAGTAGGGCTAGACTCTCCCTCAGGTGTAAGACCCGGCTACCTGGTTCAGACACTCCCCTATGGTGAAATTTTAAAAAAGTGTCACGGTGTGCGGAACCGGCGGTGCAACTCCAAGAACTCCGCTACCCAATAAAGACACAAGGATTTTGTTTTATAAAATACCTGGTTCGTACACTCTCCTGTGGTGAAATTCCAGAAAAGTGTACTTGTTTTATAAAATAGTCATTCAATGTGTAACATCTAACAATGACTTGGTCTATAACCACATGACTTTATTTCAAAATGATCATTGAATGTAATTCATCAATGGCAGATTTTCAATGCATCGGCATTGCATTGCGTGGTGGGAGCCAGTAAGGACTCGAGTTAAAGGACATAAGTGAGTCTTACTTCATTTCATGGCATGATTTGTAAAAATTTCAACATTGAAAAATATATTGTGGTTGAGATGTTGTTGGTGATAAAGGGTTGCATGAACATTCATATGCACTTAGGTTGCGGAGTTGTAACGCCCCAAAAACCACCTTGGAAGGCATTACCTTCTAAAACCATTCATACCAAGGGAACAACTAATAAAATCCATAAATAACCGGAGGTCCTTAATTTAATAAAATCCGGGCAGAGTCTCCTTTGTTCGGGGAGCTCTACCCAAAACACAACATGTGCAATTATACTACATTGATCATACCGGGTTCATTTATCCCTAAAATATTTACAACATTATCCAAAAGAATAAGCCCAAACCAGGCTACTACATCAAAAGAATTATATTTGAACTTAGCAGCGGAATAAACAAAATACTAGACTTTACATGATTGTACATAATCGTTCCTAATCTAGCATAAAAATAAACGACATCTCTAGATGTCTCACTCGGGATCCAAATACCCATCTAATGAAGCTTCTCCATGGCCCGGCTTGTTAGCACCAAGCTCCTCCTCTAGCTCATAATCTGCAAAATGTTTAACTGTAGGGGGTGAGCACGAAGCTCTGTAGGAAAACTCCTCCCAAACTCGAACAAGATTTAGAAAACAGATAAAAATCGATCGTTCTCATTTCGTAAATAACATATATCAATGTTGAAGGAGAAACNCACGAAGCTCTGTAGGAAAACTCCTCCCAAACTCGAACAAGATTTAGAAAACAGATAAAAATCGATCGTTCTCATTTCGTAAATAACATATATCAATGTTGAAGGAGAAACAGGACATTTTAAATAGATCCCAAGTTTAAGCCGTAACAATAATCAAGTACAAGAGTAAAGTCAATCCCACCATAAATAACAATTTCAAAGAGTAATCATTCCCACAACAATTTTCAAGATAATCATATCCAAAATNTTGGTGGTTAATGGGTGGGCTCGAAAAAGTTGGATTGAAAATTTGACTGAGTCGCACGGTTCCATGAAAAACTTGTGTCAGGTATAGCAAGTAGGGCTAGACTCTCCCTCAGGTGTAAGACCCGGCTACCTGGTTCAGACACTCCCCTGNTCATATCCAAAAGATAACGCAATAAACAATAACCACAATATATCTCAAGTCTAATGTAAGATAATCGCATGAATAAACACATAGAGAATATCCTGGCCCACACACACACAATTCCTCCCAAGGATATCAACTTCGGGAAGGGCGTCTATCGATGCATTGTCTCATACCAATGCACCGGCAATAACGAATCCGACCCAGACATAGTATACTAATCCTCTGACACAGCACCCGTGAGCTAATAGTTGTTTGGTCTTCGCAAGGAACCAACCCTACTACGAGTGGTAGGAAAAGTTCAAACCCGCACGGAGTAAGAACCACACACATCTACCCACTCTACGATACCCAGTCAACGGCCACCTATGATCATTCAAACACCTCTATCAAATACAATCACCAACCAATTCTCAACAAAATTTCATAATTTTCAAAACCCTCAAATTCCATAGGTATTTCTCAAATCACATTAAATCTCAAAAATCTCCAATTTTCTCCCATATGATTCCAATAGAACAATTTAAGAAAAATATGCAAGAGATCATCAAACATATATTTTTATTGTTCAAACAAAGTGCTAGGGTTTTGAAATCAAGAATTAAGGAATATCAAGAAGAAAAATCTCTATTTCTTAAAAGAAACAAGGGTTTTGAGATTTCATGGCTATCAAACCATAACTTCATTCCAAACATGATAATATTTGCAAGAGTATCAAGAAATATTGATTTCATAACATATATCCAAGATTTAGAAGCAAAATATACATAGATATAAACCCTAGCCTCAATGTAGGAGAATGAGAAGAAATTCCTACCTTGAATCAAAGTTTCAAACCAAAACCCAAACTTTAGAGTCTTTCTTCTTCCCTTTTCTTCTTCCCTTTTCTTTTTCCCTTTTTCTTCTCCTATGGTTTTAAGAGGCTTGGGGTGAGAGATGTGGGAAAAAAATGGAAGAAAAGGGCTGAAGTCTGTGTTTTAAACACAGCAGTCTACAACAATTACTGTTTATGATTTTGCCACTAAAAATCTCCAATTTGATCCATATGACTACCCTAAGGTTTTTCGACGTTCCGGATTCATTTTTAATGTTATTTTAACCTAAAAAAATTTATTTTTATGATTTATTTCAAAATTAAAATAAATTTACACTCGAAACATTAAAATTACTATTTTATTCCTCCCTAGTATTTATTCTTATGGTTTCAATATATATGGTTTATTCTTACGTCATTACATATATAAGAATCACTAAACAAGTACATTACTATATTAATATAA